TTTGTTGTTCCATTTCCAAGACTCATCAACTGCTTTCAGAGAGAAATAATTATAAGGAATTCATAGCTTTTCTGTAAAAAAATGATCACAGGGATGTTACCTTTGTAATACTATTTTGTAATCTCCTCCACCTTGTAAAACTTTTTGTTTATGAGAAAGCCCTGCTGCCTGCCTGGAACTTGATGATCTGGAGCCTTTCCTTTCCTTTGTTTCCACTAAAAACATTTCCTGACATGGTGACACACCTTTAGTCCCAGTACCAGGAGGCAGAGGCAGGCATACCTCTGTGAGATTGAGACCAGCCTGGTCTATATAGCAAGTTCCAGATTAGCTGGGCTATAGGAAAATCACATCCCAAAACAAAACAACAAAACAAAAGCCAACCACAAAAGACCATGACGTCAGATCCCAGTCAATGGGGAAAAATTCAGTACTCTTATGTTAGGAAAAAGTCTATCAAATTTCCTGCTTTGTGTGCTTGCCTGCTTCCTATGTGAGGGAATGCACCCTTTTGCAAAAGTAAATTCTGCCTTGCTGAGTTACATTTGCTTTGTCCATGCATTCTTTGTGCAGAATCAGTGGGGTCCTTGGTACAAAAGCAGTTAGGTAGCTTGCTTGTGGTGGTTTGAATGAGAATTGTTCCCCATAGGCTCAAGTGTTTCAACACTCTGGTCAGTTGGTGACACTGTTTGGGGAGGGTCATAGAACCTGTAGGGGATGTGGCCTTGCTGGAGGAAGCACATCACTGGAAGCAGGCTTTGAGAGTTCAAAGCCTTGCCTCACTTCCAACTCTTTCTGTTTCCTGTGTGTGTTTGAAGATAGGCGTGATCAGCTTTCTGTGCCCGCTGCCACCCCCACCACGATGGACTCTTATCACTCTGGAACCACAAGCCCAAATAAACTGTCCTTTCTATAAGTTGCTTTGGTTATGGTGTTTTATCTCAGCAACAGAAAAGTAAGTAACACAGTGCTCATGGTTATAGGAACACAGCTAAAAGTTATGGAGCCAAAATTCTGAAATCACTAAATAATAAAGAGAACCAAATTCAGGCTCACCCTCAAGTATGCTTACTGTAAGAGCTATAAACAGGTTTGTTATCCACCTTTTCAAATCTCATTAATCCTAGGCCATTTTCCAAGGCCTAACTCAAATACTACCTGTTCTCCAAAGTCTTTCTAGAGCCTTCTGTGGTAGGAGAACAGGGTTAAAGAAAGAGCCATCAAGAGTATCATGTGAAAGAAGCCAATTGGCAGAAAGACTGGAAATCCCTCCCCTCCAAGGCTACATGTAACAAAACAGAACATTCTAGAGAAAAGCCTTGCACTCTCCAGAAAAGGCAGGTACTATGTAAAATGAGGTGTAGAGAGAGGGTCATAGTCTCTGATCTGGGCTTTAAAAAAAAAAAAAAAAAAAAAACTTTATTATTTTTAGTTTATATATGTAAGTATATTGCCTGCATGTGTGTAAGTGCACCCATGTCATGCAATGCAATGCCAGTGGAGGTAAGAAGATGTTGGATCCCATTGAACTGTAGTTACCAATGGTTGTGATCTGCCATGTGGGTGCTGGGAATCAAACCCAGGTCCTTTGCAAGAGCATCCAGTGCTCTTAACTGCTAAGGCATCTCTCCAGCCCCAGTAATATCTTTTTCTTAATGAATTGCCCCTATTTCTATCACTACTGTTAACTGAAATAACCAGAAAAAAAGCCACATCTACATTAAATATTCTAGGGCTGACTGAATGATAAGACCTTCAATGACTATGGAAAGTTGGGATGTCACAGGTCCAGAATCAAATTATCTTAGATTATCTTAGCCCCTAAAGAACTAGAGATTTCCCCCACTTTGCTGTAACCCACTTATCTGATGTTTCCACCAGTGTATTTGAAAAATGTTTTATGACTTTTTTCATTGTTTAAAACAACAACAACAACAACAACAACAAACTTCATGAAACTGCTACCATATTAGAACAAAGTATTTGGGGAAATCTGAATCTGTTCCCAGGCCATAGTCACTCAGATTTGGCCCCTAAATAAACTCTCTTTTATTTCTTTTGAGATGGCAGCTAGGTTTTTTGGTTCAACACTATCCACATGTCCCCTGGACCAATTCAGTGTTCAAGGATAGGAGGACCTGGAAATTTCAGTGGGTGCCTTCCAGACTCTGATCCATACCTGTAATGCTTCTGGTTGAGTCTAGTTTCATAGGATTTTATCTTGTGTCAATCTTATGGCATATCATGATTTTTTGTTTGTGTTTTTTTGAGATGGGGTCTTCCTGTAGCCCCAGTTGCCCTAAAATTTGTTATGTAGATCAGGCTGGCCAAGATCTCACAGAGCACTGCCTGCCTCTTCTTCCCATGTGCTGGGATTAAAGGCATATGGCACCATGTGCAGACACATCATAATATTTTTTCCTAGCAGTGTAGATTTTATTCACATCATTTTGTCTCATATTTTCCTTTAATCTAGTCAGCTTTTTACTCTCTATGACTCCCAAGTCAGTGCCTGGCACACAATAGTGCTACCTACACATTATGGAACACCTATTCTTTTCAGGGTATCATATTAAATCTTTGAAAGGAATAATCTCATAAAAAGCTTTACAGAAATCCAACCTCACAGCTATTTTCAGCTGCTACTGTGACAGACGAAATACTAGATGCACCTTAAACTTGGCAAACAAAAAAGACAAGGTTCCTCCCTCAAGAATCTGACAATCAGATGGGTGCAGTGGAACACACCTGTAATCCCAATACTTCTGAGGTGGAGGCAGGAAGATCAGCAGTTCAAAGCCAGCCTCAGTTACACAGTGAGTTCAAGGCCAGAGTGGGATGCATAGATGAGACTTTGTCCCTCCCCAAAAGAATTCAGGGGCTAGAGAGGTGGCTCAACAGTTAAAAGCACTGACTGCACTTGCAGAGGACCTGGGTTGGGTTCCACATGGTGGTTGACAACCCATTCATAACTCCAGCCCAGAGCGTTCTTAGACCTCTTCTGACCTCCATGAACATTGCATGCATGGGTCACTTTAACATGCACAAAAAAACACATTCATATACGTAACATAAAAATCAAATATTTTTTAAATGCTCCTAATCTAGGGAGGTTGGTATACTAATAACCTCTCTCTCTCTCTCTCTCTCTCTCTCTCTCTCCATCTTGAGACAAGGTCTCTCTGCAGCCCCAGCTGCAGACCAACCTGGCCTCAATCTCTCATGAGATATACCTGCCTTTGTTGGGACTAAAGGCATGTGCCACCATGCTGGGCTAGTAACCCATCTAGATGAAGGAAAGTGAGGCTCAAAAAAATTGTGTTATGTGCCCAATTGGACAGAGGATGTCAGGTGTCCTGCTCTACCACTCTTGGCCTTATTCCCTTGAGACAGGGTCTCTCACTGAACTAGGCTGGTGGGTGGACAGCAAGCTGCAGCAACATCTGTCCCTACCTGCTGCAGTGCTGAGGTTACAGGCAGCTACACCCAGCTTTTTACAAGGGAGCTGGTGATTTAAACTCAGGTCCTCTGCTGGCAAAGCAACATTCTTACCTGCTGAGCCATCTCCCAGCCCTTTTAGTTTTGAATAGAATCCTGCTTTGTTGGCCTGGAACTCACTATGTAGACCCGGCTGGCCTCCAGTGTATGGCAATCCTTCTGCTTTAGCCTCCCTCATGCTGGGATTATAGGACTGTACCACTAGCGCAGCTTTCAAATACATAATTTACTCAGCAAAAAAGAGGCACAACCAGAATTCAAAGCAAACTGCAGAGTGGATATTCTGACCCTCTACACGGAAGCGCTATATGCCAAAGGAAGAACCTAAGGATCACTTAAGTTCGAGGATGCTGCTAAAGCGAAATGTCACCTCACTGATAATAGTTTCACTCCCTGTTCTTTATTGGGGTGGGGTGGGGGAGCAGCACAGGGAATGAGCAAAAGTACAGCTGGAGGCTGGCGTTGAATCCCATACATTGATACTAGCTAAGGGCTGAGAATTTCCTTGTGTCCTGTAGTGATCCCACTGTGCAGTGTCCCTTCAAGTGGACCTTGTGCATCCATGCCTTTACCGCCCACTGGGAGGTGCGGCTGGTAGTGATTCACCACTGAGATGTTGGGCCCTGTGGTGTGACTCTGACTGTCCCTTACTTTAATAATGCTGCAATTAATGCTTGAAAAGGGGACCCAGAGCCGAAGAGAAAGGAGCCTCTAAAAATGTGGGACTTCATCCTTGCAAAGGCGGAAGCAGAGGTGAGACTCGATGAGACCCTCCAAGTCCTCGGGCGCCCCCTGCCGACCGGGTGGGAAACTCCTGCCTTCCGCTGAGGTCCAAGTATCACCTCCATCCCCAGCCCTCAGAGAGCTCTTCGGACAGAAAGCCATTCTCCCAACCCCACCTCCGCAGCCGCGTGTAGCGCCCAGCCTCATCACCTCCTCAAATAAAACAATACTCCGAACTATGGAACGAAAGAGGCGCTGCAGACACAATTTTCGCCCAACAAGCTACTTGCGTTAGCATCTGGTTCACTAAGCTAAGTGAAGAAGACCGTGAAGAACCAGGCCCGAGTCGGGTGGTCTGAATTAGAGGTTCAAACCTGGATCAATCATCCCG